AAAAAAGAAAAAAGTTGCTTTGAGCGCGAGTCGAACGCACGACCTTAGGATTATGAGACCTACGCTCTACCTACTGAGCTATCAAAGCAACTGATTCTTCAAATCACAACCTTCATAACAAAATTCATATAAAATTCCGATATTAGGTGAAAAACGTTGTTAATCTTTTTTTGAAATGCTCAGAGATGAATGCGAAACAATGACCGAAGAGCACATAGAAGATTTCAAACGCTTGGAAAGAAACATATTTCACCAAATTCAAGAACTTTGCTATTTTTTTCGCGAAAATTCCAATTTCAATATTATCTCCTTTGAACTCTTTGCCTATCAATTTGAAAATGTAATTCGAAATATACTATCGATCTATGACTTTTCTCAAAGACGGAAACCAATTGAGGATTTCGAGCAGACTTTCAAAGATTTTTTTTATCATTTTCAGGACGAAAAGCTAATTTTGATAGAAGAAATTGAATCTTCGCTTGAAGAAATTGCCGAAGATCTTGACAAAAATGAATTGTCAGAAATCGATTTTTATGCACTTTCAGATAATATTTCTCAACGGAAAGCACTTTTTGAAAATATTGAAACATTGAAACATGCAAATCTAGAATATTATGAGTCTACCAAAATTTTAATTACTAAAGGCATCATTATTTCCACCTTAACCAAACATTTTAATCAATTAAAAGAATTCTATGAAGAGTTTCCGAAAGAAATGAACGAAGAGGAAAAGGTTAAATATAGGCTAAATAGGAGAATTCAACTTCTAGAAAGAGAAAATCAATCAATGAAAATTGCAAACGAAAAAATCTTGAAAGACAGAGAAAATTGGAAAAATAAATTCATTGCATTGGAAAAAGATTATCAAAATTTAAATGAACTTGTTTCTGATATGAAGAAAGAAAACGCTTCATTAAGAAAAGAAAAAGTTTTGTTACAAAAAGAAAACGCTTTATTACAAAAAACGAAAACTGATGAACAGAAAAAAGAAGAAAATGAAAAACGAAAAGAAGAAATTCAATGTAGCATTGAAGATATGAATGAATTCTTTGAAAATGTTGATAAAGATGATCCAGAGAAAATAGTGGAATATATTTCAGAGAATTTAGAAGACTTCCAGTTTTTATTAGAAGATCTGTTAGAAAATATTAAATATTAAAATACCTCATTTTAAAATTAAGATTTGATTGAATAAAAAGGAATAATGTGTAGCTTAAGGAATATTCATTATTGATATTGAAATAAAACATACTTTCAAACTATCGAAATATTAGACATTTTACTATATCAAATACTACTATTTCAAAACATTTTACATTCAACAATTTGACAGCGTTGATTAATAATTGATGCAGGGTGACCGCATTCTAAACATATATCCACAATTCTCTGCGGGTAGTCTGGCATCGCACTTTGGCTGAACAGGGTATTCTTTGGAACAAACAAGATCGATCCTTTAAATTTACTGGTAACATGCTGCCTAATTAGTTGCTCTGCAGCTTTCGGATCAAATGTTGGAAGACTAATGGTGGTAATATTCTTTGGTGGTTGATCATCAACTTTTTTAGGAGTTGGGTTCGAATTTGCATTGTTTTTATTGGAGTTACAAATGACTCTTCCAAAATAGAAATCTGCTTGCTTGGATGGGAAACCTTCTGCTTTACAAATACTTACAACCGATTCTGTATGCTTTTTCAAATCTTGTGGATCACATTTAAGACTAAAAATCATAAATCCAGATTTGAAATCTGATAAGTACCTTTTAACAAGTCCTTCTAATGATTCATTATTGGTGATATTTAGAGTTACGACTTTGGGATTAAGAATAGCATGAATAGATCCTGATGTATCCAAAATCTTAGCTTGACAACTGTAAATTTTACAGATATCACACACAATGTGAGAGAATTGTGGAATAATTGGGCGGGATACATCTGTTCGCAAAGGCTTAAAAATAATGGGACCAACATATCCACATTCTAAATATTTCTGAAGTTTATGTTTAAGCTGTTTGGCGTTTTCCATTGGGAGATCTACAATAATTTCCTTGGTTTTGCGTTCAGTCATGTCTACAATAACATTTTGTTCTTCAATTTTATTTGTGAAAGAGTATTCTTTACAGATTTCAACAATTCTATTTAAATATACACCTGCGTTGGTAAATACCATTGTCCCAATAAAGCCACTTTCAAGTTTGGCCCGAATTGTTTGCTCAACAGCCTTCTTTGAGTTGACAGGAACAGGCACCTCTTGGGTAGGTATCTTTGGTTTTTCACATCCTGTTGTTTTATTACATTCAATAATTTGACCACAACGTCTTGATGCAGTAAATTTATATTCATCACATATTTCAATAATTCTCTCTGGATAATTTTTCATACTAATAACTGAATATAATCCAATTGATGGAATAAATCTGATGTTGCCAATGAAGTCACTTTCAAGCGATTTTCTGATGATTGCTTCAGCCTCTTTTTCCGAATTCCATGGGATTTCAGTTTTAAGAAGAGGGACATCTTCATGTGAAGTTCCAGGTGATTGAACAAATTGTCCGATGGGTGGTTTCTTTGGTGTCATTGTTTGATCATTTGAGTTTGGTGTGGAAAACTCGCTTGATGAAGGAGTAGAAGTTGGCGTAACATTATTTAATTGATTATTCATTTGACTATTCGACTGATTATTCATTTGATTATTTACTTGATTATGTGAAGGAGTAGATGGTCTTGGAATTGGAGGCGGTTTGGATGCATCACGAATATTAACTTTTGTCCTCATGTCACACTCAACATTTTGACTATTAGGATCAACTAATTTGGCAGCATAACCCATTGATTTACAAATGTCAATAACTTTTTGTGGATATTGACTCATTAAGGCAGAATTAAATCTTCCTCTTACAGGAGTAAATACTACTATTCCTTTATAACCTGACATCAATTGACCCTTGATAATAGTTTGAGCATTTTCATCTGATATTGCAGAAATAGTAACATTTACTCGATTGGAATTTTGTTCATCAAAGTTAACGGATGGTGAGTTTTTGCGTGGTTTTGGCGTTTGGGGAAGCTTTTCCAGATTGTCTCTTTCTTCATTTGACTTGAGTTCACAATAAATTGTTGAACTCAGGTTTGACATTGTTGATGGTGTGTATTGGTAGTCAGTAACAATTTGAGAAATAGCCTTCTTTGTTATGTCAAGTGTAGTTTGTTTAGTGATGCCTTTTAATATAAAAATCACATCACCACGAAATTGTGTGTTTTGGACTTTTTGAAATTCTTCTCTAACTTCTTCAAGAACAGTTGTGAGATTTGTTCCATCAGTACGAATTGTTTTAAATCTTTTTGGATTCTTTTTGGGTGTTGGTGTAAATGCATAATGACTTGCAGACGAACTCCGAGTTTGAGGAGTTTTTGGCGTGATATCCTCTATGTCAGATGCACAATTCTTTTTTGGTGTGAGGGCGGTTTGAGATGGGGATTGGCAGAGTTTGAGTGGTGCATTCTCTTCATTTTTGAGGTTAATTCCTTTGGAGCGTCTTGGCTGTGGTGTAGCTGGTATTGGATGTAAACGCAATAAATGGTACCTTAAAGGACGTTCTGAACTTCGATTATATCGATCAATTTGAGGTGTTTTAGGACTTAGAAGTGGTGCTTTTTCTTTCGGATTATATCGGACTGGAGATTCAAAATAAAATGCTTCTTCTTCTTCTTCTGAGCCTCTGGTTCTCATTCGATTCATTTTATCTTGAAAAATTTTTGGTCTAAACGTACATATCTACCTGGACATTTATTAATACAAAAAGTGGGAAAAATGAATATAAATAATTCAAATGAAACAAGAAGAAAAAATGGAATAAACACCTCAAAACTGATTTATTTCTTTAGTGTTAGTATATAATATTAAATTCATACAATAATTATGATATCAACCTGTTTTTTTTTCTTTCCCCTTCTTTTACCCAAAGATAAACATTTAAAAATATCTATTTTTAATTTATAATCATAAAATTTCATTATAAAAAGATCAAAATGGAATTTCTGTTGTTTTTCTTATTTTCATGATCAATATTGTTTCAATACAAATTCCATGGAAACAAATTTCTTCGAATTAATTTTTTTTTCCATTATTTAAATAATTTTCTTTTTTCTTTTTCTTTCTCCGCTTCTTCTTTTGCTTTAAGTAAATCATCTCTTTGATGCTGCATTATTCTACACTCTAGTTTCAGTTTTTCAAGTGCCAGCCTTTTTTCGTTTATCTTCAAATCATTTGACACATGGCTGGACATTTGATTTGAAATTTGAGGAATTTTTGGTTTTGGCTGCTGAGCAGATTCCAATTTTTCTGATAGCATTTCTGACCAATTCCTAAGCATATCAAATCCATCATCCATAAAACCAAAAAGTGGAACATCAAAATCACCAGATGCTGAGTTCTTAAAATCGCTGAAAGAACCAATATAGTCATCATTGTAATCATTATAGTCAGGAAATTCGTCATCATCATAAGAATCACTATCATCTTGAAATTTGTCATCAAAATCATTTGGGAAGTCAAAATTGAAAGATTTTTGGAAATTCTTCATGAAATGATGATGAAATTCTCTATTTAAATTTTTATTCTTTCCATGATTGAGATTTACATTATCTTTCAAATCATTTTGAGTGACATCTTCATTTTTCACATCACTCGTCTTATTTTCCGCATTTGTTTCATCTTTTTCGTCTCTTAATTCATTGATAGAACTAGGAGGATTATCATTGGAATCCGTTTCAGTTTCAGAAATTGGTATATCATTGGAGTTTTGAATAATTTCATGATTTAGATTTCTTTTGAATTCTTTATTTATTCTTTTTTGATATTTTTGATCGAATTCTTGAAATTCTTTATTGAAATTTTGGAAATTAAATTTATACGATTTCTCTTTGATAATTTTCATTGCTTTTATCCGATGAATAACTTCATTTGTCTTTCCTCTAATCATCAGAAGTGTCTGATCAAGCTCATCAAATTTTCGATGATATTCTGTCATTTTATTTTCCCAACGATCAGATAAATAGTTATATTTCAATTTCAATACTTCATAGCGTT